CCGCTGGGAGGCGCTGATGGGAGAGACTGGCCGGACTTCCCAGGTGAGCTCCAGGTGGCCTCCCTGCGTCCTGGCCCAGGTGTGGGTGTGGTCTGGGAGCACAGAGCCAGGTTCCCACCTCGGGGCACCTGAGGTTTGTGCCTAGCAGCCTCCTCCTCCTCCTTTGGTTTCCTTTTCCTTTTGGTCTCAGTGTCTGGGACAAGTGGCTGCTACCAACAGCTCTCAAGGTGGCCCCACACACCTGAACCAACCACCTGTCCCCAGCCCTCCCGTGCCCATGAAGACGGCTCAGGGGGGCCCCATTAAGAGCTGGACTGGCACCTTGGTTAAACTGCAAGGGGAGATGCTTGGTCACCCTGCAGGCCATGAAGTTCAGCTGAAGCCACTGGGCCCATGGCCTGGGAGCCCGTCTAGGGCGAGGCCACCACACAGAGGGGCCTGATGGTGTGAGGTCGGCCTCTGGATCCCACCACATTGAAGCACCACAGAGACTCCCTTCTTCTCTCTAAACCCACCATTTCTGCGCCCTGGACCTCCACCCAGCCCTGCTGTTTTCAAAGATGTGTTTTCCACTGACTCCCAATGCCAGATCCCAGGAGAAGCTGGTGGTCCCACACCTGCCTGCGTTCCGGCAGCCCACGAGGGTCCGTGCTGACGGCAGGTCTGCCCGCCCCCTCATCTCAAAGTCAGTCACCTTTTGCCCCAGACTCTCTTCCTAGCCTGCCAGATCACCCCTTCCAGCCACGTAGTCAAGCCCAAATTAGGAATGAACCCCATCCAGCCCCTCTCCCACACACAATCTCCAAAGTAATCCCTGGAACCCATGATTAGATCTTATATGGCAAAAGTGACTTTGAAGATGTGATTCAGTTAAGGGTTTGGAGATGGGGAGATTATCCTGGACTATCCAGGTGGACCCACTATGCCACCAAAATTCTCAAGTTGAAACCTAATCACCAATGTGAAAGTATTAGCAGGTGGAGCCTTTGGGATGTGGTTAGGTCATCAGGGTAGAGAGCTCATGAATGGGATTAGCGCCTTACAAAAGAGATCCCAGAGGCTGGGCACAGTGGGATGCACCTATAGCCCCAGCTACTAAGGAGGCTGAGGCAGGAAGATCTCAGGTATAGGAGTGAGCTATGATTGCACCATTGTATTCCAGCCATGGTGACTGAGCAAGACCCTGTCTCTAAAGTAAATAAATAAGAGAGACCCGAGAACTAGCTAGCTCCTTCCACTCAGTTAGAAGTTGCCATACATGAGGACATGTGCCCTCACAAGACATCAAATCTGCCAGCACCTTGATCTTGGACTTCCCAGCCCCCAGAACTGTGAGCAATAAATTTCTAGGCTGGGTGTGGTGGCTCACACCTGTAATCCAAGCACTTTGGAGGCCAAGACGGGTGGATCACCTGAGGTTGGGAATTCAAGACCAGCCTGACCAACATGGTGAAACCCCATCTTTAAAAATAATAAATAACAGGAGGCTGAGGCAGGAGAATTGCTTGAACCCAGGAGGCGGAGGTTGCGGTGAGCCGAGATCGCGCCATTGCACTCCAGCCTGGGTAACAAGAGCAAAACTCCGTCTCAAAAAAAAAAAAATAATAATAATAATAATAATAAATAAATTTCTGTAAAATGCTATAAGCCACTCACTTTCCAGTATTTTTGTTATCGCAGCCTAGGGAGACTAAAACAACCGCCGTGGCACATTTGGGGTGATGCAGGAACACCCAATGTTCCCAGGAACCAGTGAGGGGCAGGAGTCCCAAATCCCTCTAGCGAGATCCCCAGAGAGCGCCATGTACCCGCCTTGCCGCTGGCAAAGCTGTTTATGGAAGTTAGGGGCCCATTGGTTTAGAGCAGCTATTCTCATGGCACTGTCTTGAGACAGTTTTGGTTGTCATGACAGGGTGTGTGTGGTAGGGGGCGCTACTGCATCACACAGGCACAACATGCTACAGTGTGGGGACAGCCCCCCAACAACAAAGAATCATTTCATCCAAAACATGGATGGGGGCCAGGCGCAGTGACTCATGCCTGAAATCCCAGCACTTTGGGAGGCCGAAGCGGGAGGACTGCATGAAGCCAGGGGTTTGAGAACAGCCTGGGCAACATGGTGAAACCCCATCTCTACAAAAAAAAAAAAAAAAAAAAAATTAGTCGGGCGTGGTGACGCACAACTGTACTCCCAGCTACTTGGGGGTCTGAGGTGGGAGGATTGCTTGAGCCTAGGAGGTCGAGGCTGCAGTGGGCTGAGATTGCACATCACTCCAGCCTGGATGGTAAAATGAGCTGTCTCAAAAAAAAAAAAAAAAATTACTTGAGCATGGTGGCGTGCACAGTGGTTTGTGCCTATAGTCCCAGCTATCTGAGAGGCTGAGGTGGGAAGATGGCTTGACCCCAGGAGACGAAAGCTGCAGTGAGCCAAGATCGTGCCACTGCACTCTAGCCTGGGTGACAGAGCCAGACTCTGCCTCAATTAAAAAAAAAAAAAAAAAGGGCTTGAACCAGGGAGGCAGAGGTTGTAGTGAGCTGGGATCACACCACTGCACTCCAGCCTGGACGACAGAGCGAGACTCCATCTCAAAAAAACACAAAGAAAGAAAGAAAAAACCAGACTCTGTGACAATAAGATAGCAAACTATAAAGAGGCCCGAAGGCCAAGCCAGGCAAGGGTTTATTCATGACCTCCTGTGCTTAAAGAATAAACTACGTCTTAACTACAAATGAGTTTTTCCTTTTTCTCCAGCAGATAAACAAGCACTGGCCTGAAGTGACATGAATCCACCTTGCAGCTCATCCAGCTCACAGAGGCTGACTCACTTATCCCCTGGTCCTCCGGCCGTAACTACAGCTCTGATGAGATCAGTTTCAGTAACTTTCTCCTGATAAGAGATCATTGACCGTGAACTGGCTTTGGCTGCTTTTCAGAGGCTGCTCACTTTGCCTTCAGGCCCTGAAAAGATATTTTGACGGATGGGGCCTAATTGCAATGCATTTTATTTTATTTTATTTTGTTTTATTTATTTATTTTTTTTTTTGAGACAGAGTTTCGCTTTTGTTACCCAGGCTGGAGTGCAATGGTGCGATCTCGGCTCACCGCAACCTCCGCCTCCTGGGTTCAGGCAATTCTCCTGCCTCAGCCTCCTGAGTAGCTGGGACTACAGGCACGCGCCACCATGCCCAGCTAATTTTTGTATTTTCAGTAGAGACGGGGTTTCACCATGTTGACCAGGATGGTCTCAATCTCTTGACCTCGTGATCCACCCGCCTCGGCCTCCCAAAGTGCTGGGATTACAGGCTTGAGCCACCGCGCCCGGCCCTTATTTTATTTTTTAATTAATTAATTATTTTTAGATAGAGATGGGGTTTCTCCATGTTGGTCAGGCTGGTCTCAAACTCCCAGCCTCAGGTGATCCGCCTACCTCAGCCTCCCAAAGTGCTGGGATTACAGGCATGAACCACCTCGCCTGCCCCTTATTTTCTTTTTTTGAGATGGAGTCTCGCTCTGTCACCCAGGCTGGGGTGCAGTCGCATCATCTTGGCTCTCCGCGACCTCCGCCTCCTGAGTTCAAGCAATCCTCCTGCCTAGGCCTTCCGAATAGCTGGGTAACAGGCACCCGACACCGTGCCCAGCTAATTTTTATATTCTTAGTAGAGTCAGGGTTTCACCATGTTAGCCAGGCTGGTCTTGAACTCCTGACCTCAAGTGATTCACCCGCCTCAGTCCCACAAAGTGCTGGGATTATAGGTGTGAGCCAGCGCACCCGGCCTTGCAATACATTTTAATGTTAAGTCTCCATTGTCTCCATACTACAGCAAACTTGGGTCCTATATTAGGTGCATGTTCGTTCAATATACATGTGTCAGGACCACCTTCATGAATATTCATCGCTCTCCTGCAACCTGTTGAATATGTATGTTTAGCCAACCCCTTCAGCATACAGCTCCTGCCCCAACCTCTCCTCCTTAGAAGTGTCTGTCTCTGGTCTCTGCCAGAGGCTATGTTTTTTTTTTTTTAATTAATTTATTTATTTATTTATTTATTTTTAAAGATGGGGTTTCATCATGTTGGTCAGGCTGGTCTTGAACTCCCGACCTTAGGTGATCCGCTCGCCTTGGCCTCCAAAGTGCTTGGATTACAGGCGTGAGCCACCACGCCCAGCCTGAGGCTATGCTTTTGAAAGTGGCAGATGGCTGCCCTGAAGGCTGTAACCCTTTATAACAAATGAAGTTGCCACAGTGGCTCATGCCTGTAATCCCAGCACTTTGGGAGGCCGAGGCGGGTGGATCACGAGGTCAAGAGATCGAGACCATCCTGGTCAACATAGTGAAACCCCGTCTCTACTAAAAATACAAAAAATTAGCTGGGCATGGTGGCGCGTGCCTGTAATCCCAGCTACTCAGGAGGCTGAGGCAGGAGAATTGCCTGAGCCCGGGAGGCGGAGGTTGCAGTGAGCCAAGATCGCGCCATTGCACTCCAGCCTGGGTAACAAGAGTGAAACTCCGTCTCAAAAAAAAAAAAAAAAAAAAGGTAAAAAATTGGCCAGGCATGGCGTTGCACTCGTGTGGTCCCAGCTACTTGGAGGCTGAGGCAGGAGGTTGGCTTGAGCCCAGGAGGTTGAGGGTGCAGTTAGCCATGATTGAACCACTGCCTGAATGACAGAGCAAGACTGTCTCAAAAAAAAAAAAAAAAAGAAAGAAAGAAAGAAAAAAAGTCTCCTTTCCAAATTTATAAATTGTGTGATTTTTCAGTTAACCAGCATGCAGGACCAGGGCCAGCCACGCTACTGAGATGGGCTGAGCAGAGTGGTGGGCTGTGGGGGGCGGGGGTGGTGCTTGTCTCTGTCCAGGGGTGGCCTGGCTGAGGTTCGGCAGGTGTGCGAGCCTCAGTTTCCCCACCTCCATGCAGGTGCAGTGTGGAGAACCACAGGAGCCTGGTGCATGCCCACTCTGCACTGTCCGAGGGTGCCCTCTCCCGCTCAGAACCATGGAACCAGGCCACGGTCCGCCTCTTCTTTAATCTTGGACTGGAGGATATACAGGTTGAGAGGGTGGGAGAGTGGCCTGGGCAAGAGGCCCTCGAAGGGATACAGGGGCCCGTTCAGGGTCACCAGGAGCTCTGGGAAAGGAGGTCAGGGAGGAGCTTCAGCCTCCCATCTGCCCAGCTGGTCTCCGCCACCTCTTCCACGCTCAGCTGGACTCCCCTGCCGGGAGTCCAGATCCTGCCGGAGTGCTGGGTCCCCCGGCCACATCCGGCCTGGACGAAGGACCCGTGAGGGGACGGGACCTCAGCTCTGGGCGGAGCAGCGTCTTAGTAGCCTGCGGCCTCCCCACCCTTCCTCTGGTCCGAGACGGCGTACACACAGGACCCCTCCTGGGACACAGCCTGGACCACGTTCAAGAAGAAGCGCCTCTGGGTCTGGTTCTGGCCTCGGTCTTGGAGTCCCCTCTGTACCTCCTGGAGAGGAGAGAAAGCAGGTGCACAGGAGAGGGCAGCTGAGCCCATCTCCAGAAGGGAGAGGCCTCTGCAAGAAATGACAAAAACCATCAAAGGCAGGACTGGGAGGAAGGGGGCCTGAGGACGCAGATGGGAGCGTGGACGAGAGGCAAAGGCCGGCAGAGGAGAGGCTCAGCCTCCAGGGATCAGGCCTGGAGGACACCACCCGGGCCCCAAGACCTCCAAATGCAAGTTCATGTCTGCGCTCGACCCAGCAACACCAGGGCCTTGAAGTGCAAATCTGACTTCAGGGGGCTTTCAATGGAGGACGTGGCTTCTCAAGACTTAGACACTGAGGCCAGACGCAGTGGCTCACACCTGTAATCCCAACACTTTGGGAGGCTGAGGAGGGAGGATCACTTGAGGCCAGGAGTTTGAGACCAGCCTGGGCAACACAGCAAGACCCTGTCTCTCAAAAAAAAAAAAAAAGAAAGAAAGAAAAGCCAGGCATGGTGATACATACCTACAGTCTTGGCCACTTGGGAGCCAAGGCAGGAGAATCACTTGAGGCCAGGAGTTTGAGAACAGCCAGAGCAACAAAGCAAGACATTGTCTCTACAAGAAAATCAAAAATTGGGCTAGGTGTGGTGGCTCACACCTGTAATCCCAGAACTTTGGGAGGCCAAGGCAGGAGGATCTTTTGAGCTCAGGAGTTCAAGACCAGCCTGGGCAACATAGCGAGATCATGTCTCTGTTAAAAACAACAATTTTTTTAAGAAAATAAAAATTAGTCGGGTATGGTGGTGCTATGCCTGTAGTCCCAGCTACTCAGGTGGCTGAGGCAGGAGGATCCCCTAAGTCTAGGAGTTGGAGGCTGCAGTGAGCCTTGATTGTGACACAGAACTCCAGCCTGGGCAACAGAACAAGACTGAAACCGCCTTTGCAAAATTATGACTGAGGTAGTGAAAGAGATCTAACTTAACCGACTCCATCTTGAGTCTAACCTCCAAGCTGTCTTTGTTCATTCCTGGGTATAGGCTGAACTAACTTTGGGAGAAACTTCATTTATAGTTTAAACAAAGACGGTAACAGCCCTTTCCCAAAGCAGACCTCCTTATTGCCTGGGGACTAGATTGCCTTTGTAGGACTAACATTAGCCATATCATTAGAAATTACGGTTTAGGAGTCAAGCAACTGAAGGTTACCAGATTCTGACCCTCCCTAAACTGCTCCTAAGATTAGTGCTTGAGGTATTTTGCAGACCCTGCACTTGATGGATCAGCTGGCCCCACCCAGATCAATAAACTGGCTCATCTGATCTGTACCTCCACCCAGGAACTGACAGCACAAGAAGACAGCTTTGACTCCTATGATTTTATGATTTCCAGGATTTTGGGGGGGGTTTGTTTTTGAGATGGAGTCTCGCTCTGTCGCCCATGCTGGAGTGCAATGGCGTGATCTCAGCTCACTGCAACTTCTGCCTCCCAGGTTCAAGCGATTCTCCTGCCTCAGCCTCCTGAGTAGCTGGAATTACAGACACCTGCCACTATGCCCAGCTAATTTTTGTATTTTTAGTGGAGACAGGTTTTCGCCATACTGGCCAGGATGGTCTTCTGACCTCAGGTGACCCACCCACCTCAGCTCCCAAAAGTGCTGGGATTACAGGTGTGAGCCACCTCACCCAGCCAACTCCGTATGATTTCATCCCTGACCAATCAGCACTCCCGGCTCACTGGCTTCCCACAACCCACCAAGCTGTCCTTAAAAACACTGCTCTCCAGCCAGGCGCGGTGGTCATGCCGGTAATCCCAGCGCTTTGGGAGGCTGAGGCAGGCAGATCACCTGAGGTCAGGAGTTCAAGACCAGCCTGGCTAACATGGAGAAACTCTGTCTCTACTAAAAATACAAAAATTAGCCAGGCGTGGTGGTGTGCACCTATAATCCCAGCTACTCAGAAGGCTGAGACATGAGATTTGCTTGAACCCAGAAGGCAGAGGTTGCAGACCATGCCCCTGCACTCCAGCCTGGGCAACAGAGCGAGACTCTGTCTCAAAAATAAAACAAACAAAAACAAAACTTTGCTCCCCGAATGCTTGGGTAGACTGATTTGAGTAATAATAAAACTCCGGTCTCCCGCCCAGCAGGCTCTGCCTGAATTAAGCTTTCTCTATTGCAACTCCCCTATCTCGATGAATTGGCTCTGTCCAGGCAGTCAGCAAGGTGAACCCGTTGGGCAGTTATAAGACCTTGTGGCAAAAAGTTTTTTGAAAAGACCTATGATCTCTGGCCGGGCGTGGTGAGACTAGCTGGGATGATAGGCAGATGACTGTAATCCCAGCTATTCGGAAGACTGAGGCAGGAGAATCGACTGAACCCTGAAGGTGGAGGTTGCAGTGAGCCGAGATTGAGCCACTGCACTCCAGACTGGTGACAGAGCGAGACTCTGTCTCAAAAAGAGAAAAAAGACCTATGATGTCAACACACTATGTCAAGATCTTAGACACCCAGGAACCCACAAGTTTAGGGCCCTATTGATGAAGAATTCAGCTAGAATAAGGACCTGAATAACCATGAATCCAAGGAAATTAGATCCCTAAGCTAAAACCACCCGCAGTCCCGCAGTGTGAGACACTCGAGGCATGGGGGCCTACAGGCTCAGGCCCAAGACCCTGAATTTGTGGACTTTGAGGAAGTCAGAGACCAAAGTAGCCCCCAGCCTTGTGCTTGTTTCTTTCTTATTTATTTATTTATTTATTTGAGATGGAGTCTTGCTCTGTTGCCAAGGCTGGAGTGCAGTGGCATGATCTTGGCTCACTGCAACCTCCACCTCCTGGGTTCAAGCAATTCTGTGCCTCAGCCTCTCAAGTAGCTGGGATTACAGGCACCCGCCACCACGCCTGGCTAATTTTTTTTTTTTTTTTTTTTGAGACGGAGTTTCGCTCTTGTTACCCAGGCTGGAGTGCAATGGCGCAATCTCGGTTCACTGCAACCTCCGCCTCCTGGGCTCAGGCAATTCTCCTGCCTCAGCCTCCTGAGTAGCTGGGATTACAGGCACGCGCCACCATGTCCAGCTAATTTTTTGTATTTTTAGTAGAGACGGGGTTTCACCAAGTTGACCAGGATGGTCTCGATCTCTTGACCTCGTGATCCACCCGCCTCGGCCTCCCAAAATGCTGGGATTACAGGCTTGAGCCACCGCGCCCGGCCTAATTTTTGTATTTTTAGTAGAGACGGGGCTTCACCATCTTGGCCAGGCTGGTCTTGAACTCCTGACCTCATGATCCACCCACCTCAGCCTCCCAAAGTGCTGGGATTGCAGGCGTGAGCCACTGCGCCCGGCCACGTGTGCTTGTTTCAAAGATGCCAAGTACCTTGCCCCGGGGCGATGGTCCGCACACACTACCACTCTGTAAAGGGGTGAAAGTCCTAGCGGACAGGGACCTGAGCTGCTAGGGCCCCATGTTTCCAGATACCATTTCAGACTAACGACCTGAGAAGTTGGCTGGCTGCAGTCACACATGCCTGTGAGCCCAGCACTTTGGGAGGCCAAGGCAGGCGGGTCATTTGAGGTCCGGAGTTCCAGACCAGCCTGGCCAAAACCTCGTCTCTACTAATAATACAAAAATTAGCTGGGTATGGTGGTGTGGGCATGTAATCCCAGCTAGTCGGGAGGCTGAGGCAGAAGAATTGCTTGAACCCAGGAGGCAGAGGTTACAATGAGCCGAGATCGCGCCACTGTATTCCAGCCTGGGTGACAGACTGAAACTGTCTCAACAAAAACAAACCAAAAAAAAAGACTCATGGCCCCAGAACCATACCCAGCAGGGCCTGAGATCCCAGAGACATCTAGGTACGGAGGCCCTAGCGCTCCACACTCCTCAGGACCAGGGCCTCTGATCCGAGGTCATCAGGTGATGCCACATGGCCTGAGCTGCTGACAGGGCAGGTGACGTCTTCAGAGCCCTGCACGTTTGGCTGTTAAGTTCCCCGTGCCTGACATACTAATTGCCCACTGTCCTTAGACTTGAAGGCCAAGATCCTCACTGCTGAAGCCAAAGCTGGACTTTCAGGGCTGAGACTGCATTTCTCAGAGTCCACTGGCCAGACTCCAAGACCCCCTGATCAAAGACTCTCCTCACCCTAGTCCCTGCGCCTTAGCTGTGAAGGTCCTTAGGGACCCAAAGTCTCCATCCCAGAGTTTAGGATGTACTCCATGGAAAGCCCTGGACCTGAGTAGCTGACATTCCAACTCCCCAGGGGAGCTAAGAACCTTAGGTTTGTGAGTCACTGGATTCCATTAATCCCAGTCCCCAGACTGTCATCTCGTCTCCCAAATTCTCAGCATTTCAGGTCCTCAGGGTGAAAGGTCCTGAGAATTGATATTCACCAGGACAAAGGTCCTTCAGTCAAGAGTCAAGGGAGGGCCGGGCACAGTGGCTCTTGCCTGTAAGTCCAGTACTTTCGGGAGGCCAAGGCAGGCAGATCACTTAAGGTCAGGAGTTCGAGACCAGCCTGGCCAACATGGGGAAACCTCGTCTTTACTAAAAATACAAATATTTAGCCAGCCATGGTGGCACACGCCTGTAGTCCTAGCTCCTTGGGAGGCTGAAGAGGAAGGATCACTTGAGCCCAGGAGGTCAAGGCTATAGTGAGCTGTGATCACAACACTGCACTCCAGCCTGGGCAACAGAGTGAGATGCTGTTTCAAATATACAGTAATATATATAGAAAGAGAGAGTAAAAATTACCACCAATGCCCTAGTGCCCCAGAACAAAATCACTTTACAGACTCCCACAGGAAAAACAACCTCTCTTACAAATCAAGTTGCAAATTTAAGTAACAAACCACACAAGGAAAAAGTCACCATGAGGGAGAGTCTGAGAGGCCACAGCCAGGAAAACTCACTCCTGAAAAATGGCATAAACCACAGACCAGAGATCAAGGCGCTGAGATCCTTAGCCTGGGAGCAGCGTAGACAACACCCTCCTCTCTCTGTCTTGGAGGCCACGGAATTGACAGCCTCACCCATCAAGGTCCCCAACTCTTATGGCCCCCAAAGCTGAAGTGTACCTGACCTAAGAATCTCAGTGACTGACTTCCTCCCAGGAGGCTTTGAGCAGCATGGACGTCGGGGGTGGGCTCTGCCCGAGGCATCCGGCTGGGACCTCAGCCTCACCTGGCTGAAGTTGGGCTCGTACTCCACACGGCCCTTGCTGTTGATATGCAGAATGGGGACTGCGATGGCCGCTCTCAGGTCAAAGCCAAGCCACAGCTTGTTCACGATGGCCTGGGGGAGAGATGAGGGATGCAGGGAGAAAGGGGGTACCCGCTACCCTATATCAGCCCTCGCACCCCCACCCCAGGGAGAATCAGACAGTATACTGCCCAGAAAGGAGAGCTGGAGCCAGGAGCCCCAGACTCACCTGGGTCACGGCAGAGATGATGAGCTCCCCGCCAGACCCACCAATCACTAGCTTCGACCCCTGGGCTTTGTTGATCAAGATGGAGGGCACCATGGAGGACGGGGGACGCTCGCCTGGAACTGGGGGCTGGCACCTTCCAGGAGCTCCACCCATCCTGTCTCCATTCTCTGCTTGAGCAAATAGTGCCTTGGCCAGTGTGGTGACCTATCCAGGGGTTAGCATGCAGCCCCAGCCCAGCCCCCGCCCTTTCTCCCCTGGTGGGGGGCCCTTGTGGAGCCCAGGTGGGAAGCCTCGTTCTCACCAGGTGAGAGGGCGGTGCCCGAGCCCTGGGGGCATCTCTCGCATAGGTCCAGGAGCTCATTGTTGAGGATGATGCCTGTCCGTGGTGAGTACACCATCGCTCCAAAGCTGCAGCCGTGGAGGCAGAGCCTGGGCTGGGACCCGGGGCTCCCACCAGACACTGCCTGCCCCACCCACCTTGCAGGACTCCCTCCTTTTACAGCTGCCCTGAAACATGCTGGAGCTGCTATTCACTCCCTGGCACCACCCAGGAGGGGCCCCCAAAGAGCCACCTGTGCCCCATATCAGGGCACCTTTCTGAGCGAGGCCACCCATTCCCAGGTAAATCTTGGCTCGGGGCCACCCCAGCAGCAGCCTTTCCAGCCAGAGATGTCGGGATGGGGGCCCCTTTTGAAATAGAGGAGGAGAAAGAGGGCAAAAGCAAGGTGCTGCCCCACGGGGACAAGTGAGGGGACATGGGGCTGCGGGGGTGCAGGTCTAGGAGAAGAGGAGTGGCCGCCCGCCTTCCCCCAAGCCCCACGCACGGTGTGTTGATGGTGCTGGTGGCAGCCACGGCACTACCATCCTCCCCCAGCACAGACACATGGGACGTGCCTGTCCCATGGCCCCAGGCCCCGGCCAGGCTGTAGTGGCTGAGCTGGTGGTCCCCCCGGCCATCGATCTGCTGGCGGATGAGCTGGGCCAGGGCCTCCCCCAGCAGCTCCCGGGAGGCGTTCTGGGGTGGGTGGGCAGGTGGCAGGGTCAGTGAGGGGCCAGGCGGGCCCGCAGAACCAAAGACAGGACGAGCTCAGCCCCATGGGGGCCGTCTCCAGTCTGTCCTTGACCTTGTGGCCAGGCCTCCCTCAAGCCCAGGCTAGGTCTCGGCTCTGCCCACCCTCCAGGTCCTTTGAGATATGGTGCCACTCCTGCACCTGACCCCTGTAACTGCCACCCTGGGGTCCCTTTCAGTCCTGCCCTGGCCTAAAACCACATACATACATATCCCTCCAACCTCCCCATGCCAGGCCTGACCCTCCATTCATGCCAAGTCCTGAACCAGGGAGGAGGGCAGCCCGCCAGCCCCAGCAACCTCAGCAACTTCACCTGGAGCTTCGGGTGGCTTCGAGGGTCCCCCAGCCTCCACCTCTGCCCCCTGGCAAACTTGAGCGTCTCCACGAGGTGGTGGTACACGTTCACCCTCCCTTCAGGCCTGACCACAGACTCTGCTGAGAAGTTGAACCCTAGGGAGGGGTTGGGGCACAGGTGGGGGTTACCCTACATAATACGTTAAATATTGACCCCCCCCAGAAAGATTCACTCACATCCTAATTCCCAGAACCCGTGAATATTACCCTATACAGCCCAAGAGTGACTGTTACCTTAAGTGGCAAAGTATGGTAAAGATTTTTTTTTTTTTTTGAGACAGAGTCTTGCTCTGTTGCCCAGGCTGGAGTGCAATGATGCAACCTCAGCTCACTACAACCTCTGTTTTCCAGGTTCAAGTGATTCTTGTGCCTCAGCCTCCTGAGTAGCTAAGACTATAGGCGTTTGCCACCACACCCAGCTAGTTTTTTTTGTATTTTTAGTAGCGATGGGGTTTTGCCATGTTGTTCAGGCTGGTCTTGAACTCCTGGCCTCAAGTGATCTGCCTGCTTTGGCCTCCCAAAGTGCTGGGATTAAGGTGTGAGCCACCATGCCTGGGCTTTTTTGTGTGTGTGTGTTTTTTTTAAGAGGGAATCTCACTCTGTCACCCAGGCTGGAGTGCGTGGCACGATCTCGGCTCACTGCAATCTCTGCCTCCCGGGTTCAAGCGATTCTCCTGCCTCGGCCTCCCAAGTAGCTGGGACTACAGGTGAGTGCCACTACGTCTGGCTAATTTTTGTATTTTTAGTAGAGATGCGGTTTCACTGTGTTGGCCAGGATGGTCTTCAACTCCTGACCTCAAGTGATTCACCTGCCTTAGCCTCCCAAAGTGCTGGGATTACAGCTGTGAGCCACCAGACCGGGCCCAAGGAGGAGATTATCCTGGATTATCTAGATGTGCCCTGAATGTGATCATAGTGTCCTTGTAAGACAGACACACAGAGCAGAGGACACACAGAGCAGAGGAGAAACCAGTATAACCACAGAGGCAGAGACTGGAGTGAGGCAGCCACAAGCCAAGGAATGCTGGCAGCCACCAGAAGCAGGAAGAGGTTGTGGTTGTCAAAATGGAGCTGCGGCCCGGTGGGGTGGCTCATGCCTGTAATCCCAGCACTTTGGGAGGGTGGGGCAGGCTGATTACCTGAGGTCAGGAGTTCAAGACCAATCTCTCCAACATAGTGAAACCCCATCTCTACAAAAATACAAAAATTAGCCGGGTATGATGGCGGGCACCTGTAATCCCAGCTACTGGGGAGGCTAAGATGGGAGAACAACTGGAACCCGGGAGGCAGAGGTTGCAGTGAGCCAAGATCACGCTCTTGCACTCCAGCCTGGGCAACAGAGTGAGACTCCATCTCAAAAAAAAAAAAAAAAGAAAAGAAAAAACACTCTGAAAAATAGAGCCAAGGAAAGGCCATGAAGGGAGGATTCTCGTGCACAAGTGACCCGTTCTCCGCCAGGTGCTGTGGCTCATGCCTGTAATCCCAGCACTTTGGGAGGCTGAGGTGAGAGGACTGAGGTGAAAGGATTGCTTGAGTCCAGGAGGTTGAGGCTGCAGTGAGCCTTGACAGTGCCACTGCACTCCAGCCCAGGTGACAGAGCAAGACGCTGTCTCAAAAAAAAAAAAAAAAAAAAAAAAAAAAAAAAAAAAAAACACCTCACAACCTCACACAAAGACCATTACAACCTTACACAAAAAATACTTGGGCAAGGACATCTGCCCAGCAATGGCCTGTCCAGCCTCAGACTGGTGCCTCCCTTACCACTGATCCTAGTAGCCAAGGATAATCATTTCGAAACAGTTATACCGGAGCTAAACTATGAGGATGCAGAGGCATAAGAATGATACAATGGGCTGGGCCCGGTAATCCCAACATTTTGGAAGGCTGAGGCCGGTGGATCACCTGAGGTCAGGAGTTTGAGACCAGCTTGGCCAACATGGTGAAACCCCGTCTCTACTAAAAAAAAAATACAAAAGTTCGCTGGGCATCCAGCCTGGGTGACAGAGGAAGACTCCATCTCAAAAAAAAAAAAGAAAGAAAGAAAGAAAGAGAGACAGAGAGAGAGAGAATTATATAATGATGATATAAGAGACTCCGGGGACTCAAGGGGAAGGCTGGGAGGGGTGAGGGATAGAAGCCCGCAAGTAGGTACAGCATATACCGCTCAGGTGATCGTGCTCAGAAATCACCCCGCACACAGTTGACCCTAGCACGGGGATTCCCACTGTGAGGCCCACTCTGGAATAAACATCATTTTCTTTGAGAGCCTTGTTCTGTTTTTTATTTAGGTCAAGGAGGCAAACGAGATTCTCCCCTGGAGCCCAAGGGAATGCAGCCCTGTGGATAGATACCCAGCCTCTGGCTTCCAGAACTCTGAGAGGACACATATCTGTTATTTGAAGCCACCAAGCTTGTGGCGATTTGTAATGGCAGACACAGGACACTCGCAGGCAGCCCCAGGCCTCGGCACCGCCGGAACCCGCTGCAGGCTGCCTTGGGCTTCACTGAGCTCCACTCCCCGGGTGCGCGCCCCTGGTGGGCAGCTCACCACCTGCACAGCCCACCTGCTTCTGTATCTGGGACTGGTCACCTAGTGGGAGGAAGACTCTGGATGAATGATGTTGCCCCTTCAGCAAAGCCTCATGTACGGGCCGAGCCGGAGGCCAGCTCTAAACCCACCATCCTGGTTTCCACAGCTCTGTCTTTGCATTGTGGGTCTGTGAACCCGGTTTATGGATGAGGAGGCTGAACTAGGCCGTGGCTGGGCTTGGAGTCCAGGTTCCCAGGGGGCCAGGGCTCTGGGCAGCGGCTTTACCTCTCAGCACGTTGAGAATGAGGCTGAGAATGGCACCCCCTGCAGGCGACGGCGGTGAGTACAGGGTGTAGTCCCCCAGGGGCATCTCCAGGGCGTCTACCACCTCGGGCTGGAAATTAGCCAGGTCCTGCAGTGTCAGCTGGCTCCCTGGGGTGAGAGAGAGGGCTCAATAAACAGATGGGGAAACCGAGGCAGGGAGGAATAACCACAGGTGACAGATCACACAGTGGGATTCCACTCATCCTCTAGCCTCGTGGACACAGGGTGATGATAGGTCTGTAGGCAGCAGCCTCAGGACAGGACCCTTGGAGCCAGATGTAGAGGGGTGGACAGAGACCAGAGGCAGGGAGGGGGAGAGGAAGCTGGGAGAGGGAGCTGGCCTTTGAGAGCCTGTGAGGGTGGTCAGCTCGGCTGCCCAAGCCCGCCATGACCATCGGTAACTCACCTCGCTGGCCCTAACCCGCAGGCTCTGCTGTCCAAGGTGCTGGACCACAGGACTCCTTAGGCCGGCCGTGTGAGGTGCGTGGCCTCTCGGAGCCCCAGGCACCACCAGCACTCCCTCAGGGCCTGGGGAGGAGTCTGCCCTCAACCCCCAGCACCCGGACCTTGGCTCTTTCTCCAGCAGGGACAGGGTATGGAACCTCAGGGAGGCTGACCTTCCTTGGCAATGTCCTCCACCAGCATCCGGCCCAGCCTCCCCGTGTAGAAGACATCCGCGCCCTCTGTGGCCACGGTCTCCAGGGTGGTGGCCAATGCAGGCCATGGGAGTGGGTCCTGAGACCTCAGGGGTTCTGTTCCGTTGAAGAAGAGCTGGCTGGGGGGTGGGGGGCAGCCTCAGGGTGGGGCCAGGTCCCAGAGGCAGCCTCACTCCTGCCGAGGCTCTCATGGGTGGGGTCCTCAGGACCCTATAGTGCAGGGCGCCCTGGCTCAGGGTCCCGAGGCACTGGGGTGGACACCAGGGAACAGATTCTCTAACAGGTGGGGGGGCTGGCACCGCTCACCCAGCTCGTGGCCCTGGTCCAGGGAGGGCACATTTCCCACCTAGGGCCCATCATCCCCTCACTCCTGGGAGGGCCTGCCAGTGGGCTGGGTCAGGCGGGTGAGAGTAGCAGCTGAAGCCCTCCTGCCATGCCCTAGAGAGGGAGAAGGAGGCCGGGGCCCAGGGCGGGTGGCAGAGCCCAGATCCACACCTTGGAGTCCTGTCACTTGGGCAATGAACTCCCCTCAGCCTGACTTCCTGAGTTATTTGCCACGTGGAGCCAGAAGGGCTATGAAAAGTCTTCTCTGTCCTGGCCTTAAGGTCCCCTGCACCCCATGAGCATCCACCCTCCAGTGCAGGAGGGACTGAGGCAGAGCTGGGGTGTGGACTGGGCCCAGACAGGATATCGTCCTGAATCCAGGAGCCCAGGGCCACCCTGTGGGGCTCACCGCAAGGTTGACGCCTGCAGGAAAGGCCGCAGGAAGCTGTTGTGCAGGAACTGGCTGAGGACGGGGGGTACCACATGCCCTCCTCGGAGCAGCGCAATGGTGGGCTGGAACAGCTGCGCCCAGGGCAGGCGGCCATGGCGACGGTGGGCCTCAGCGTAGCCACGGAGCTCCCCGGGCACCCCAATCCACTGGGTCCCTGCACGGCACATCCCAGACCCCCACCCTGTGGCTTCCAGGCCTTCCCAGGGGTTTTCCATCACCCCTGCGTGTGGACCCCAGCTACAGCAGCCAGAGTCAGCTTTCTGGAGCCCACACCTAACCACGCCCCTCCCTGCTTAAACCACCTGTGGCTCCCCACAAAGTCCACAGCCAGGCCCACGGGGCCCTGCACAAGCTGGCCCCAGGCGCCCCACCCTGCCCCGCTCTGCCCCACCAACCCATCTCCACTGAAGCCTCCAGGCCTTTGTCCAGCCTGGTTCTTCTCCCTGGATCACCTCAGAGAGCCCCTTCCCAAGTGGGGCCTTCCCCTTCCCTGCGGTCCATGAGGCACTGCTCCTTTGGGGGTGTGTGTTGGTCAGTCCTAGCGACCTGGGGGATGGGAGTAGGGGGCCCCCCCACGGGGCCTCACCTGTGCCCAGTGGCAGAGCCTGTGCACACTGGTCCAGCAGGCTCGGGGCGTGGCTGGCCGGCACCGTCTCCCTCGCGTTGATGACCTCCACCTTCCCTGGAGTAGGGCAGGGCAGATGAGTGCTGTCGGACCCCGCAGACAGCCCCCGGCCTGCTCTAGGCCTCAGCTTCCATCTCTGCATTATGAAATGGACTCGGGGCTAACACAGGGACAGGAGTTGACACAAAACGTGAAGCGGGCAGAGCACGGGGCCCAAGACCACCCAGAGACGGGCTTGAGCAAATGGGACTGGCTGGAGGAGGGGTTACACGCTGGTGTGCACAAGCCCGTCTTCCCCACGGCAGGTCACGTGTGGGCCCACCTGTCGTCACATTGTAGATGGTGAAGATGACCCCTCCGCCCAGGCCCATGCTCTGAGGGTTGACGACGCTGGTGCAGACCAGAGCCGCGATGGTGGCGTCCACAGGGGAGCCCTGCTGCTGGAGGATGGCTCTAGGGGACATGGTAGAGAGTCAGCGGTGGGGCTTCCCTTCCCGTCTCCCCACCAGGCTTGCTCAGCTGGCACTCCTTGGCAAATGGTGACGGAGGTGGCCCATCTACTGCCACCAAACCCCAGGTTAGGTCAGAGAACACAACCAGGCTTCCCCACCAAATCCAGCTGCTCACAGGTCTGCAACACTCTACAGTTGCAAAATGTGATGCCATTTACACTGACCTTTGCCACTGATAAGGGGCTTCTCAGTTTGCAAAGTGCTTCTGTTGTCACGGCTCCCAGCAGCTCATATGCCACCGGCAGAACCAGGCCTAGGCCACCTCTTAGTCACTCACAGTGGCCCCAGGAACCCACCCTGGAACTCTACTTCCCATCTCACTGGGGACACTCTGGCTGTAACTACCTCAAGGCTGGCCTTTGGCAGGTGACCCCAGGACCTTTCCCTGCCACCAGGGCATGAGGCTTGAGCTGATGGGCCCTGCAACTTCTCCTGGGGCCCTGAGCCTATGGAAATGCTCTGGCCTAAGCTGGGCTCATTGGCTCACCCCTGCAATCTCAGCACTTTGGGAAGCCGTGGCGGGTGGATCATTTGAGGTCAGGAGTTCAAGACCAGCCTGGCCAACATGGTGAAACCCCATCTCCACTAAAAATACAAAAAATTAGCTGAATGTGATGGCGAGCACCTGTAATCCCAGCTACTTGGGAGGCTGAGGCAGGAGAATTGCTTGAACCCAGCAGGCAGAGATTACAGTGAGCTGAAATCATGCCACTGTACTCCAGCCTGGGTGACAGAGCAAGGCTGTCTCAAAAAAAAAAGAGGCCAGGCGTGATGGCGCACACCTGTAATCCCAGCACTTTGGGAGGCCAAGGCAGGTGGATCACGAGGTCAGGAGTTCAAGACCAGCCTGGCCAACATGGTGAAACCCTGTCTCTACTAAAATTACAAAAATTAGCTGGGCGTGGTGGCAGGAGCCTGTAATCCCAGCTACTTGGGAGGCTGAGGCAGGAGAATCTCTTGAAATGGTAAGGCGAAGGTTACAGTGAGCCAAGATCACGCCATTGCACTCTAGCTTGGGTGAAAGAGCGAAACTCCGTCTCAAAAAAAAGAAAAGAATTTCTCTGACTTACCCCTCCCCATCTGTCCATAGGCAGAAAGAGGTGGGCGCTTCAGCCCTGAGGGGCTGGTCAGCCTAGCCTACATTGTGATGATCCCTGTCCCTGGGGCATAGCCCTGCACAGGTCATTAAGAGCAACCTTTTCCCTCACACCCAGGGATCCTCCCCAGGACCGGAAGAAGCCAGCAGTTAAACCCAGATGTGGATGGCAAAACCAAGGCCCAAAGAGGGAGTGGACCCGGGTCCCTGCACCCATCCTGTGGGACCTCTGACCGCAGCGCCCTTCTTCAGCTCAGGCATCTGTGACCTGACCTGGCGTGTCCGTCTGGACGGAAACCCTCCCCAGCTTCTGAGCCAAGTGTCCCTCCCCGGGCCCACATGTAGCACACATGGGCTCTGCAGGAACACACGTCATCTTGGAACGGGAAAGACAGCACAAAGCCAGAGGCAGGAAATAAACAAGTCAGGCATAAACAGTAATTTTTAATAACAATAAAACACCATAAAAAAAGCCAAATGACAACTGGGAGAAAAAACACTTCAAATTCCTGTCCCAGACAGTCTTCGCCTCCTAACTAAATGGAGTGCGCCCTTGCTTCCCCAGCCTGCCTGCTTCCAGCCTAGTCAACTGTCTTGGCTTCCAGGGAAATATAGGGACGATGGTCCACAGAGGGTGCAGACCTGGGTCCCTACACCCACCTCCCCAATCCTGCCAGGCTTTGGGTTTCCTCCCACCTCCCTGGTCCCCTGATTTTGGGGGCCCCAGGTTTGGTTCTTGGTCCTTATGTATCTGTATCTTCTCCCTGGGTGAGCCCATCCAGGCTTGCGGCACAAGATGCCCCCTGTGTGCTGATAACCCCAGTTTTATCTCCAGCCAGTCCTCTCCCAACGCTCCAGATACTTATTCCCAGCTATGCACAAGATACCCGCTCAGGGTGTCTAAGAAACATTTCAAACACACCGTGATCTAAACTGCACTTTTGATGTTCCTTCCAACCCTCCCCACGAAATGGCTCCTCTCCTAGTCCTTACTGACTTAGGAATGAACACAACCACTCACCCTTTTTGCTCAGTGTCTGCACTCTGGAGCCATCCTGGATTGGGCACTTTCTTCCTTCCCCACATCCAACCCACCAGTGACTGTACCTCCATCTCCACCACCTCGGTCCGAGCCACCAACCTCTCTCACCTGGGTTATTGCAATGGCCTCCTACCCAGGTCTCAGTGTCTGCCTCGCTCCCTTACATTTTAAGAAAATAATCTGTTAAATGTAAATGAGACTTCACGGTAATGGAAGACTGTAATTCAGACCACACTTCCCACAGAGAACTAGAAAAGCCCAGCAAATAGAAAACGTGTGCTTAATGGTGTAGGAGGCAGAGGAGCACAGGGCTTCAGAGGAACACAGGGCTGCAGAGGAGCACAGGGCTGCAGAGAAGCACAGGACTGTAGAGAAGCACAGGGCTGCAGAGAAGCACAGGGCTTCAGAGGAGCACAGAGCTGCAGAGAAGCACAGGGCTGTAGAGAAGCACAGGGCTGTAGAGAAGCACAGGGCTGCAGAGGAGCACAGGGCTGTAGAGGAGCACAGGGCTGCAGAGAAGCACAGGGCTGCAGAGGAGCACAGGGCTGTAGAGGAGCACAGGGCTGCAGAGAAGCACAGGGCTGCAGAGGAGCACAGGGCTGTAGAGGAGCACAGGGCTGTAGAGGAGCACAGGGCTGCAGAGGAGCACAGGGCTGCAGAGAAGCACAGGGCTGCAGAGAAGCAAGGCTGGCATTCCCCTCAAGGCGACAGCCGAGCCTGGAAGAGGAGGCTAACAGACAGAGCACTGCTTCTTTTCCTCTCTTTTTTTTTAGCTTTTTATTTATTTTTTATTTTTATTTTTTTGAGACAGAGTCTTGCTGCGTCACCAGGTGCCAGGCTGGAGTGCAGTGGCACAATCTTGACTCACTGCAACCTCCACCTCCCAGGTTCAAGCAATTCTGCCTTCGCCTCCCTAGTAGCTGGGACTACAGGCACGTGCCACCATGCCCAGCTAATTTTTGTATTTTTTGGTAGAGACGGGGTTTCACCATGGTCTCCATCTCTTGACCTCGTGATTCGCCGGCCTCAGCCTTGCCCAGACTTTAGCTTTTTATTTTGCTGAGACAGGGTCCATCACTACTTTAATGGCAAAAACCACAATTACAGTCAGGCACAGTGGCTCATGCCTATAATCCCAGGACTTTGGGAGGCCGAAGCGGGCAGATCACCTGAGGTCAGGAGTTCGAGACCAGCCTGACCAACATGGAGAAATCCCGTCTCTACTGAAAATACAAAATTGGCTGGGCATGGTGGCGCATGCCTGTAATCCCAGCTACTCACGAGGTTGAGGCAGGAGAATCACTTGAACCCGGGAGGCGAAATGTTGCAGTCAGCTGAGATCACACCATTGTACTCCAGCCTGGGCAACGAGAGCAAAACTCTGTCTCAAAAAAATACATATATATATTTCTAACAATTTTTATACACACCCTCCAGTGCTAAATTAAAAACAACCAAGCCAATAAGGAAATAAGACAGCAGGAACAAAGCTCAAGAGAAAGCATAGGCAACTTTTAAAAAGGCCCGTAGGGTCTCCAGATTATTAAACTGTCAGACCACGTACTGTAAAATAAGTACTTTATATCTATATTCAAGGATATAGCCGGGCGCGGTGGCTCAAGCCTGTAATCCCAGCACTTTGGGAGGCTGAGGCGGGTGGATCACGAGGTCAATAGATCGAGACCATCCTGGTCAACATGGTGAAACCCCGTCTCTACTAAAATAACAAAAAATTAGCTGGGCATGGTGGCGCGTGCCTGTAATCCCAGCTACTCAGGAGGCTGAGGCAGGAGAATTGCCTGAACCCAGGAGGTGGAGGTTGCGGTGAGCTGAAGTCGCGCCATTGCACTCCAGTCTGGGTAACAAGAGCGAAACTCCATCTCAAAAAAAAAAAAAAAAAAAAACAGAATTTCATCAGGCCAGGCATGGTGGCTCACACCTGTAATCCCAGCACTTTGGGAGTCCAAGGCGGGTGGATCATGAGGTCAGGAGATCGAGACCATCCTGGCCAACATGGTGAAACCCCGTCTCTACTAAAAATACAAAAAATTAACTGGGCGTGGTGGCACATGCCTGTAGTCCCAGCTACTCGGGAGGCTGAGGGAGGGGAATTGCTTGAACCCAGGAGGCAGAGGTTGCAGTGATCCAAGATCATGCCCCTGCACTCTAGCTTGGCGACAGAGCAAGACTCTGTCTCAAAAAAAAAAAAAAAAAAAAAAAAAAAATCATCAGAAAACAGGCAACTATAAAAAATGGAGGCTGAGAGTGGTGACTCAAGCCTATAATCCCAGCACTTTGCGTGGCAGATGCAGGTGAATCATATGTGGCCAGAAGGTCAAGACCAGCCTGGCCAGCATGGCAGAACCTCATCTCTACTGAAAATTCAAAAATGAGCTTGGTGTGGTGGTAATCCCAGTTACCCCAGAGGCTGAGGCACAAGAATCACTTATTTTTTTTTTAACTTTTTTTTCCCACCCATCCCCCCTGAGAATCACTTGAACCTGGGAGTTGGAGGCTGCAATGAGTCGAGATTGCACCACTGCACTCCAGCCTGGCAACAGATAGAGACTCTGTCTCAAAAAAAAAAAAAAAAAAAAAAAAAAAAAAAAAAAAAAAAAGATGGAATTAGGAACTCAAATTGAACAGCAGACTAGATGTAAACATAAAAAAAAAAAATTAGTAAACTGGGAGATCTTTTGCTTTTTTGAGAGACAGAATTTCATTCTTGCCCAGGCTGTAGTACAATGGCACGATCTTGGCTCACTGCAACGTCTGCCTCCTGGGTTCAAGCAATTCTCCCGCC